TGGACTTGAAGATTTAATTTCAGGATAGAAGAAGCATATGGCATTCTAAAATAGACAGCAATCTTACAAATAAACTCTTTAGATATCTGAAGTTTAAGCATTAAAGCTTGTAATCATTTACCCTTTCTATTGGAGATATTTCACAATTATATATTATGCCTAATGGTAAACAATATACTACTTGTAATTTAATCTTGATAACATATATTCATCATTATGAACACATATTATTGTTTGTGCTAGAATGTGAAATAATACAGTTAATTTTAAAGTTTATTGTAATATAATTCCAATGAGATATGGTCCATTTCGTCATCTTCATATTGTGATTTTTATACAATTATAAGAATGCTATTCTGTGTACAGCATATTTGAGACTTTTCTTTAGGATTGTCCTACTTAGCCTTAGTGTGATGGAATGATTTCATCTCTGGAAATACTGTGTAGTCACTTGGATCCAAGTCTCTCTTGCTCTCTCTCTCATACACACATTCACACTCGTACCTCTCCATCACCACACACACACACTCACACCTACACAGTGAATCTGCAAAGTAAAACTTGTGTAAGGAGGAAACCTGTCAGACAAGGAAAACAAAGATTTCCGCTACAGAGAGACTTACAGAGAAGTGGTGACTGCACCTTGCCAATGCGGAAAAGCTGCATAAACAAGGCAGTTCCATAAAATTATGGTTTCAAAGATTCCACTGGATATAAAATGTGTTGGACACTGTGCTAAGTAGGTTACAAATGTCTTTACCTTTAAGATTACTAAAATATTTGGGTGGAAAGAAAGGCGAATGCTAGAGAAGAAACACATTGGGTATCATTTGTGTTCCAAGGTATCAATATACTCCAAATGACTCTAAATATAAAGAGTATTCATTAGTATACCCTCTTTTAAAGGGTATTTTTTTCTGCCATGGAAAAACAAGTTTGAGTTTGGGGCCAATATTAGAATGACTGGTGGTGGGAAAATATTTCCTTAGCGATAGAAACAATGGCAGAGTACACATGATAGAACTTTTCAAGACCAACCACTTACTTGAAAATATCCTATCTCAACAACATACATACTATGATGATACATACTATGCATTATGCACTATATACTATACACAAGATTGAATATACAGGAACCGACCAAGTACATCTGTGGAAAGAGATAGTGGAGAAGCTTGATATCATCAGCCAGTGGGTGGCTTTGGAAGAGGTCATCAGTTGATGTTATGCAAGTTCAACTTGGAACGGAAGAAAATTAAACACAAGTCCATAAGACCCAAGGTACAGCCTTGAATTTATCCTACCTGAATGTCAAAACTATCTCAAAAATAGATTTGGCACCTTGAACACTAATGT